TCATTGCAATAATTAATCATGCAGAGAATTTGAGAATGAACCTATAATACCCCATTCAGTATCTCTCTGTCTGAAAAATTATTGAAGTTCATTCGGTTTGAGTACACTTTTTGAGTAAGGTAAGCATCCTTTCCATTGTCATGACATCCAGACCACAAGTTTGTTATTCAGAATGCAAGGTGTAAAATAGACTTGTAAATAGACAGACAGACATTACATCTAATGATCTTATAAGTTGTCTGAGCAGAAAATAAGATTAGACTAGCTTCTTGACAAATCTAACTTTGACAATCTTGACGAAAATGTCTAAAAAAATACATGCTGGCTTCTGGTAACATTATGTCACTGGCCCATGTTATCTGAGGGACTGCCTCTCCACAATTATATTTGCCCACCCCTTCAGGTACTAAAGAGAAAGCTGCGGGTCTCACCTGCTCAGAAAATATATCTGCTGGGGCCCAGGAAGAACTACTCTGCCATGATGCCCACTTTGTATAATCTTTCTCCTCCACCCCCAAAAGTGTCATTTCCCTCTCCACATTCTCAAAGTCCCTGAACACTTGGCTATGTCATCAGGCCTGGCAGTCTCAGGATTTCTTATTGTGATTAATATCATATCGTGCTTTATGTACCTTTCTAATAGTTACATTTAAATAGTGACTGTTTTAAAAGTATATATGGTTTTTAAAAATTAAATGTTGTATGCTTTGTGACATAGGCAGCTGTACAAAGATAAGATAGAGTAAGATATCAAAAGGTCCATCTCTTTATGATATTATATGCAACCTTTCCATTTGCCTACCTCCAGTCATCTTATACTTCATCCATTCTCCAGGATTTTTCAAAGTTAATGCAGAAAGTCTCATCCTTAGTTTCTTCAGCTTTTTACAATACAATTCATCTTATCCTGGATAGCTAAAACGTATTGTTAATAAACAAGTATTTTCCAACCATAGCCCTAGCATTTTTAAGCTTTGATCCTGCTCTTCACAAATTTATAGTAGAATTTTCTTGTTGGGGAAAATTAAATCATAGCGAAGGAAAATAGGAGCTGAGTCATTCTGCTTTGGGTATATTAGTTCTCTTGCTCTTCTTCCTTTTCTTTCAAATATTTCTAAATAAGTCCTTTTTGTTGTTCTTAGCATCCTTTGCCAACTTCATCTCAGTCCGAATTTTCCATTTTCTCACTCCATTTTTACAGCACACCTTTTTGTATGTAGGAATTTTGTATGTAGGAATGCTTTCTATTCCTTGTATGCATCCTTTTATTGTTTTCAGATCTTTACTAAGTTTCTTGTGTAGTACTTGTTTTCTTCTTCAATCCTTCATTTTTTTCATCCTCAATGGAACTGTTTTTCCAATAGGGTAATATGTTTTTCTTATATTCTTTTTTCAATGTTTTCAGTATTTTGTACATACCTAAGCATTCTTACTTCTTTGTCTATGCTGTTCACATCTCTTTCTGTTGTTTAGCCTCCCAGCCTTTCTAAAAATTAATACTGTACTATGCCTGATTCAAATAGAATGAAACATATAAATGTTATGTCCGAGAACTGTCTTCTGTGAATGTTTACTTATTTTAGTATTTAATTTAGATTTTAAAAGCAGTTTTCAGTTAACAAAGCACTTTACAATGCTTCCTCAAAGTAACATAGTAGAAATATATCATTTTCCATTTCATCTCAAATATGTAAGTCAGTGGTGGGATTCAAATGTTTTTACAACTGGTTCTATGGGCGTGGCTTGGTGGGTGTGGCTTGGTGGGTGTGGCAGGGGAAGGATACTGTAAAATCTCCATTCTTACCCCACTCTAGGGGAAGAATACTGCAAAATCTCTGTTCCCTCCCCACCTCTCTAACCTGCTTTCCAGCTCTGTTCTCCTGTGCAGAGCAACAAAAGACCCAGCCGATCAGCTAGGACTCGGGAGGCAGAAAATAGATGGGGGCGGGGCCAGTCAGAGGTGGTATTCCGAACTATTCAAAATTTCCGCTACCAGTTCTCTGAATTACTCAAAATTTCCACTACTGGTCCTCCAGAACTGGTCAGAATCTGCTGAATACCACCTCTGATGTAAGTATTGTTATTTAAAGTATTTGGAGTTTACCAAAACAAGAAAGCAAGATAAAAATTATTTGGGAAACTAATCTAATGAAATGGAACATTATACAACTTTGGCTCACTTTTGCCTGCAATGCAGTAAACCTATATGCCATCTTATATCAGATTTCTCATAGTACATTTAATCACTTAGTTGACTTCCTAATATATATATATTAGTATTAATATTTTCACATATATTTATTTTTTTGTAACCCTAATGTGAATAAGAGTATATTAAAGGAAGCCAAAGGTCATTATACTACCACAGATCTTCTGATCTTTCTTTAAAATATATGTGACACACAGTGTCATGTAAGCATAAATTCCCCTCACTTGTCTTTATTCTGACCCTTTAAATCTGCCTCAAAATTCCTTCCTCTCTCCAATTTTAGAAGTGCAGTGAGTTTTAGAGGGGAGGAGAACCTATTTCACACATGGTAATCCATTGGTAGAAAGATATATTTGGGATAAAAGTCCTACTATGGAATGATACCTAAAGATAGAAGAGTCTTTCTAATAAAATATTTTTTACTATTTTTAATAATATGGTTGAAAGCAGAGGAAAGTCTGCTTTCAGATTTGGAAAAATGCCTTTATCTTAAAAGTGATGAGCATGGTTGTCTAGCACTATCTTAGTCCCATCCAAATAAAAGTACTGAGTATCTGCATATACCTATATGAGTGAGTACTCTGGAAAATCAGGATCTGATCCTTAGTTGCCTGGAATCTCCCCATGAGTAGAATGGTTCTTCACTGGAGACATCCAGAGAGGAAGCAAAGGAGAATGAGACTGTCTGAATAAGACTACTTCCATAAATACTTACCTGAGTACATTAAAAGGAACTAAACTCAACTAGATTTACTGCACTATAAGTACACATAGTTTTCTATTTCCTTACAGGCTGGCACAGATACCTTAATGGGCCAGAAGGATAAATAGGTCTTCCTCTAATACTTTAGGGAACTCTTCCCCATTTTCTAACATGATCACACAGAATGAGCTGAGGTAAACACTTAGGGAGAGAAGTTTTAGTCATGGAATTTCACCATGCCCTATCATGTGAGGACGTCTTCACATTTACTGTTGATCCAGTCATTGTCAATTACCCAGTCTTATTCTATATTAACTTATGCAGTCAACAATAAGTTCTGCTGATACCAACCCAGCCCAACATTTACTTCAAAAGGACCACCCACCTTTGTTTCATATAGACAAATAAATATTGTTAAGAGTTGAATCAATAAAAATGGGAACTTCTTTTCTACGTAATGTAACACAGTATGTCAAATTGTGTCTTCCTAATTGGGGATATGATGATTTCCCAAGCATTCACACTATGCTATTTTCAGCTTTTAAAATATAATGGTTCTTTCATATAGTGCATTCACTGTTATAATTACTACATAAAATATGAATGCATGAATGTCACTGTTTGAAAGGTGATTCTTCTCCCTCTGCTTTTGTTTTAGGTTTTAGGTTTGTCTTTCACAAATATTTAATGAATCCAATAAAGCATAGGAAAGACAGTACTGTGCTCATGGATACCAATATGACATGCCCTGGATACCTCCTTTGGTTCCCAATGCCTCATCCATTCTTAAATTTAAAAAAATACAAATCTGTTACTGTATGCTATAAAGCATCACTCTATTACCATATTAAATGCTTTTTGATATCAAAATTTTCCACTGGATATCTGGTGGTCAGTCTGCCTTCTGGTGGGTCTTTTGCGATGGGCCATGTGCAAACAGGTATACATTTTCTGCATAGGCAAGTATCTTACAGCAGGCATTTTGTGAATGTATGAGTATATCCTTTCAGTTTCAAGCATGGACTAATCTCCCCAAAGCTATTGACCATGTTGTTCTACAGCAAACATAACTACCCACATTCTTTCTAAAAGAGCAAACAAGAGCCCACATATTTCCCATATTTTTAAATGTAGAATGAGAGTCGCCTGTAAGTGGTTGTCATAAATACCTAACCAGGAGGGTTGTATGACCCCCATATTTGCATTTGATTCAATTTCAGGGGCTTCAAAGTAGTGAAAGAGTATAATGGAAATTTTTGAAAATGTGCAAAGTGACATTGTTAATTTTAAAGTTTAGTAAAAAAAAAATGCACATATTTAAAGTCACGCAGCCCTTTCCTATAGGTTGGAGCGAGCCCCATTTCTTTCTGTAGATCTTAAGCCTGGCCCGACTTGAGCATCGAAGCTTTAAAAGCTCCTTGAATTCGACCGAGGAGAGCAAATCCAAAAATGCAAATCTGCAGATATCGACGAGCAAACGTTAATTTTAACGACGCTGTTTTTTTTCTTCCCTCTCCCTTCCGTACTTACTGCAGAAATCGCTGCATCCCGGAAGGCTTCAAAGCACCTTCGGGTTTGGGCGGTAAAAGCTGTTAAAAGATCTCAGACCCCAAACTCCAGCTCTCAAGTCCATCAAATGGCACTGATAAAGGGGGTGGGGTGGGGAAAGGGGACAAGAATGTAATCTCCTTAGAAGCAGGAGGGCTTAGGTCTTTTTTTAAAGAGGCGACTTGGACGCCCGCAGCGACAACGCCGAAGAACCTGGGGAGTTGGGAGGGGGGGCACGCGCCACCCTCCCTTTCTTCCCTCTGTCCTCGTCGTCGCAAGAGAGAGAGCGCTTCGAGCCGAGAGAGACAGAGAGGAGCCCGCAGACACAGAAACTACCCCACGACCCCCTTTTTTTTGCCTCGCTGCAGGCTTCGTCGTCCATCACTACACTAGGCCGGCGTTTGGCAGTTACCATAGAAACGCCCGAGGCTCCGCCGCCTCCCAGGTCTCGGCCTCTCCGGCGCGTCGAGCGGCGGGAGCTGAAACGGCACCCGCTCGGCTTTCTCGCGAGATTTGGACGGCGAGAAGCAGCCGGAGCAAGCAGGCTTGCTCGGTGAGCTCATCCCGGGGCGCAGAGGAAGGAGCGAGCTGCTGCAGCAGCTCCTGCACGCAGAAGAGAAGCGGCCGGAGCAACTTTGTTAGGTGAGTTTTGACGGGAGGGAAGGAGGCGGCGGGAGAGCGGCCCGCGGGGGAGGTCTGAAAGCACGAGGGCGTCCCGGTCTCCTTACCCCTCTTTTTTTTTCTCTTCCCTTTCCCCAACCTGCCCGGGGACCTTGGATGAGTCCGAACCTGGCGGAAAGATATCGATACGCCTCCCAACACCCCTCCCCACAACTCCCACCCGGGTTTCCTCCCCCTCCTCAGCTTACGGCGGAGACGGGGGTTGTTCACAGAGGAAGGGACCTGATGGAAACGGTGTAAAAAAAAAAAAACCCAACACGCCCCCCTCTTCGCCCCCCACCCCATCCCACTTCTCGGTCCAGCCCTTAAGCCTTTTCGCCTTCCCTTTCCGCGCTTGCAGCTAATTGACTCCGGAGACCTTGGAGTTCTGCGTGCCGGCGCTCCCCCCTTCTCTCCCCAGCCCACGTCCCCCTTCTGCTGCTGCTGCAGGATGCGTCGTCCCCTGCCGTTCCCAAATTCATTAAAGTGGGAGGTCCTGCTTCTTTTATTTATTGGCCTGAGAAGAGAGGAAGAGAGCTCCTCCTCCTCTTCTTTTTCTTTTCAGCGCTCTCTTTCTCTCTCTCTCTCTCTCTCCCAAAATATTTCCTCTAATGTGACCAAGAAATGAGCTGCATGGAAAGTCGGCGAGGTTTGCGTGCATACTGATCGGCAAAGAAGAGCTTACTTGCTTCCTCCCCCCCCCCCCCAATATTTAAAAAAGGGGGAGGGGGAAAAAAAAAAAAAATCTTCCGTACTGTATTCAGAACAAGAACATTTTCCTTTTTTGTTAGCTTTCTTTCGGTGGCTTTTGGGGTTCATCTCTTTTCGGCGAAAACCGAGGACTCATATTTTCCCCAGACATATTGAGCAAGTTGATTATTTTTTTTTCCCTGCGGGCAAAACTGAGACGGCTGCACTAGGGAGGAAAAAAAAAAGAGAGACCAGCACTAATAGTAGATTTGTATACACAGAACGTCTTTTTCTGTGTTAAAAGAAATGCATATGTATGGAATGGGAGGAGATGCATCGATATACTTGTGTGTGTATGTGTCGTGTATTGTTGAAAAGAATTGCCACTGAACTCAGGCTAAATTCGCTTAACTCGGGATTCAAATACACAATGCTCTCCATAAGAATGCTGCATCTGTATCCAGAGCCTCGACACTTTTTCATTTATATTTAAAAGCATTTCTTCATCCAACACCGAAGGTGCAAGCAGTTTTGGTTCCCAGCTGTGCTGTACTTTATTCCAAGCCAGTTTGGACACCATGATAATAATTAGCTGATTCAAAGGTAGTGCCGCTGGGGATATTATACATGTGCATAATGTGGGAAAAGGGAGTGAAGACTAAAACATAGTCTTGAAGTTCAGAGAAGTGAATATGGAAAACTGGATCTTGTAGATCAGGTAGGAAGCTGTTATTTATGTTTCAGTTTAAAAAGCAGTGATTATAAATGTAGATTTGCATTTTATTTTCTGTTTTAAATGTTCTTTTTTTTAGAAACAGTATAATTATGGGTGAATAGGCGGCAATATAAATCAAATAAATAAATAAATGTACTTTTAATTGCGTCTATAGCTATTGAAGAATTGGGAGTTGCAATTATTAATATATTCGTCCACTTTTTCAAAAGTCAGAAAAGATTTACAGTAGAAAAAGTCTCTAATGTTGACTGATGTCACTCATTTTTGTTAAGCATTTCAGCAGTTTTATTCATTTTGCAAAGAGTTTTGTTTTAAAATCTGCAGTGATTCTAAATCAGCAGTGTCTAATCTATTTTAACTGCATTTTTTGTTTTGGTGATAATTGGATTTTAATCTTTGTAATACATGATTTGCTTTTGGGTAAATAGATTGAGTTTTATTAGATTATGATTGCCTAGATCTATCTATACGTTCTCAGAATGGTTCTTCCATGACAAAACAGTAACTTGGACCTTACCCTCATTCAGTATTTGAGTTGTACATGAGGCATGTGTTCATCTCTGTATGTGTAAATTTTAAATAAGTTTCATTTTTTCTTTTTAGCTTTTTAAATTATGCAGTACATGTGTATAATTTTACTTGGAAATAGAAATCTTATGGTTAATAGAAGTCTTAATAGAAGTCTTATGGTTTGGGTTTATAAAGTTCTCTATAAGAGAAATGTGTATGTAATAGTTTTTATTGCTAAAATACTTTAACTTTTTCATAAGCTAGGGTATCAGTATTATAAGAATGAATTTCAGAACTCAACCTTGAACAGTTAAGTAAAAATACCTTTGACCCAATTGAATGATGGTCAAACAGAAAATTCATGTGTCTATTTCTATTTGAAAAGTTCACTTTTCACTTTGCATATAGATTTTCAGAGATTATCATCTTGGGGAAGGTTAGAGTATAGTCATTAATTAATACTCACTGGATTAATTGGTAGGTAAAAAAAAATTCCAAAGTTGCAATTTCTGGAATTTGTAGTGTTTTTATACTAAATTTCATGTATTTGAATTACTTTACTCATCCATTGAATGATATTATTGAAATATTTTTCAAAACTTGCAGGCAGGTATTTATTACTTCTTACCAAGTTTCATTTTATCTGCTAGTAGAAAAATGGCCTAAGTAGGATTTTGCACATAATATTTCCTCTGACAGAATTGGCGATACCTAATTTTTGCCAATTCCCTGAAGTGTCACCTCACACACTAATCCGGAGAGTTCTCCAAAGGCTCTGTATTAAATCTGGTTGAGGAAAGTTAAAGGGCTGTGAGGGAACAAGGGACTTGATGAAATTGCCACCAGCAGGAAGGCTACTGACTCAGAAGTATTGCCTGGACTGAAGAGTTGCTCTGTTCTCAGGAATCAAATGAGAGATCCAATCCAAGGTTTTTTATCTTAATCATCTAAATATCTGGATAAGCAGTATTTTTTTATTTATTTAAGCAAATTTGATAGAGAATAGTAATTTTGTTTTCATGTAAATTAGTATAGTGGATCTAGAAACGTGCTTGATAGAAAACATTCAGCTTTATTCATAGAAATTTAAGATAGATTGTTTACTAGCCAATGTAGGTATAACTTTGGATTTAAAAGCTAGAATAAAACAAAACAGCTTGTGGCTTATTTCATTTTCTTACCTGAACACATAGCTCTGCATATATAGATGAACTGCTAAAATAACTTTTACATTGGTGCCCTCCAAATATGTTGGACTGCAGTTCCTGTGATCCACAACAAGCAACTAAACACTTTTCCTGGGGCTGGTTTGTTTATTTGGTTCATACGGCTGCTGATTCACCAATGACTTCCGTCTCAGTCAGTGTAGTCATTGATCATGTATGATGGGAACAGTAGTAGCAAACTGGGGGTCCATAAGTTGTCTTTACACTGAGGGAATGTGGCTTGTTCAGGAGTCTAAAGAACAAAATAAAGAACACAGAGTTAAAATCTGGGAACTGGGAAAATGAAACATTTTATAGACCTGTTTCTAATATTATCATATATCTCTGTTGATCATACCACACACACCTTTTAAATAAATAATTTTCAGATAATTTGTCATTCTAAATTATGAATCATAGATTTTATCCAATGAGATTTCCCCTTTTTTGTGTTTAATGTTTGTGTAAGTTCAGCTAGAGGGCTTTCCTTTTGTGTTATACAGGAAGGCCAAATTAGAAAACTAGAATTAATTATTTACATTGGAAGTTGAGAAAGTGTGGTTTGGTGACCTTTGAGGTTCTCTGAGATCCCTTCAAGGGCCCACAAAGTTAAATACATACTTTAAAATTTCTCAGTTTTAATAACCCACGTAACCCATATAACTTTGGGGTCCTCAATCATTTTTCAGAATGTAAAGGAATCCTGAGACCAAAATGTTTGAGAATAGCTATCTAGATAATCTGAAGAGCTGGAAGAGGCAGAGGTAGTTGATCCTGCCTCAGATTACTTTTCTGTTCATCCTTATTTATAGTTCTGCAGTATTTCTTCTCTTTGAAAGAAAGAGGCACAACTTTCTCCATATCTGTAGTTTAGTCCTTGCATAAGGGTTTGCTGGTTAATATTCACGGTTTACAAGATATTCAGGATTTCCCACTGAGATGTAGACATAAAAACGTCTGTGTTATTTAAAATGTAAATCATAAAAGGTGGTTTCCTAATAACTGTTTGTTTACTGTATTGTGAAATTCCAAGTAGGTTACTGCAATAGCATACATAACTTTAAAGCAGTCATCAAGTTATCAAAATTAACAAATGTATCTAATAATAAATATGTTCCACATAATACTGTACCATCGTAACAATCATCATGATTTGTAACAACAAAGCAACTACATTCGTCCTAAGCCCAGAGGGCTTAGGACGAATTAATTCTCATTCCCTGAGTTCCAAATACATGGGAAACCCATGTTTCCCAGAAGTTCCCTAAATATTAAAAGTGAGGATTCAGTCCTTACATCTGGTAGGAAGGTGTTGTAGAAGAGCTAAGCTGTTGCATAGACTACACCCCTCCAATCCCTGCTTCTTTCACTTCATGATGGATGAAGTGCAACAAAACTTGTAAATGTAACAAGCATTCTTAGCAAGCACTCTCTGCAGGCTTGCTTGGAGGTAATCAGGCCCCAAGTCTTACAGGACTTCAAAAGTGAACACTGACACTTTATTGGGTCATAACATCTCTGAAACAGTCTCTAATTAAACTTGAGGTCTTTGTGAGAACAATGGGGAGGTATGTGGATTAAAAATTTGCCATGTTTTTATAGTAAGCATAGGAAAGTCATACTGTAAGTATGATTGCATATAATGTTTAATGTTTTATCCATAACGAATTATGTATAAGCTGCTGTGAATAAAATGAAACCCCTATTTTAATTAGCTTTTCTCTGGTTTTGTTCATTAACTTGCTTATGCAACCCAATTGGTTGTCTTTTTCTATATAAGTTCATTCTTTAATTTAAAATAAACTTGAATAGGGTGATCTATTGTTCTATTCTAGTTTTGA